TTTGACAAGATACTGCTTTTCTATTAACAAATGCTATGGAATAACTTTTCTATTAACAAAAAAGCTATGGAATTTAAATCCCATAGCTACAGGAAAAAAAAACAAAACAAAACCAAGAACTCACTTTGTCTGTCTGTGCAAGTGGTACGAGGTATGGAACACCTCCCACTTCTGTTATTCTAGGCTTTCCACACATTCCTGGAAAAATACAGACAGTTAATTTGGTACAGTGTTTTCCCCGACAGTCTTAGATCAGCATGCAGCCCAACACAGCAAAGAACAAGTTCCTCAAACATCCAACACACCCGGAGATCACAACTTCTCTAGCATGCTTAGATAAGATGCTGCACTATTAAGAAATGTAAGGACTGTAAGCCATAAAATGGTTTACAGTAGAGGAATTTAATGCTCATCAATTTGTAAAATAAGCACAAAACAAAAATACTGTGGGCAACAGCTGCCATTTGCTGTTTCTCCAGTAAGATGGAGCTGACACACAGCTGACACTCCCACTGGGAGACTCCACTTGGGAAATTTCTGCAGTGTTGGGTGCCCAAGTCATCTCATTTATTTGGGCACATACCTGACATTGGGCATATATTGGGTATGAAACACCTTCCCAAGGTGCTTCTTGCACTACACTTATGATAGAGGGAAATCATGACCAGCACAGATGAGGTACCTGTCTGCCAGACAGGTAATGTCAAAGACTATGAATCCCACACAAAATAACATAAAATATATTTTATATAATACAAAATGTAACAGTTTAACTTATATATGTGGATGGCAGGAATCTTAAACAAATGGAAGAACGACTCCTTTTGTTTGGATAGTGATTGTCATGGATCTAAAACATTTATCCATGTCAAAACCTTTTGAGCACAGTAACTGAAGCGTATGAAATAAGTGAGAACTGCAGACAGAGATTAAGAAAAAGAAGAGAACAACAGCTTGGATTATTTGTGCTTGTTCATTCATCAACTAGGAAGCAAACGCAGGAATAAAGCGTGGCTTTCCCATCATGCAAATTCTTCACCTGAAAAACAGCCTGAACTCTTCTAATAGCTTTAAAGAGATCTGCAGAATCAAGACCACCAGGTTACCTTTAGCAGGAAAATTGAAAGGCTCCTGAGTCAGATCAGGACAGTCTACAACAGAGACTTGGGCATCAGCAAAGTTTTCCTTAAGTCCTTTCTGCAAAACTATAATTAAAAAATAAGTATCGGCAAAGTTATTGGCAAGAAAAATTACAGAGAGGTTGACAAACAACTAACAGAAACCTGTGCCTAGCCTTCACTTCAGCAAGACACTTTAAAGAATACACAGATACCCTATGAAACTCCATTGACTGAAGTGTTAGTGCCTGTCGCTGTACAGAACTTTAGAGAACAGCAAGAGCTTGTTCAGAGCACTGCTAATTACCACATTAACTAAGAATTTCACAAAGCACCAGTTAAGTAACGTGGATAACCTTAAACCACATTCAGCAGTGCTTTTGTTTTTACACCTGCTCATGCAGGGTATGCACTGCCACATTTCTGTCCATGAGAAGACATCCTGACGAGTGCCACTGGCAACACAGAGCAAATAGCAAACAGAGCAGTCCCAAATCTGAACTTTTTCTTTTGTTCTGTATCAGTGTTTTTAAGCCCAAATCCTGCCTAAGCACCTCAACAACAGGGATGATTTTGACTTAAACAAGTTCAGTATTTAACAAGAAGCTTTAAGTGCATTTTGTGAAGACTTTGGAAGGAAAAATAAGTTGTTCCCCGCAGTCTGTTTCTAACTCAGTCACCAGCAGAGGAACCAGCTGAGCTCAAGGAAGAAGACCATATTGCATCTTGCTAGGTGTGTCCTGAGCAGTTCCAAAAGAAATACTGGAGGCAGAGGAGAGCAGGTGATCCCAGCTGAGTAATTAACCTCAGCCTGCGATTGTCAAACTTTCACAACTCCCATACAAACCTGCAAATGCAGCAGATTAAAGACACAGAGATTGCTCACATGCTCTAATGACACCCGGGGCTTTGGAGGGGGAATTATCCTTTGCTTTACAGAACTAACAGTGTACAGAAAAATAGGGCTTTACATCCCAGTGGGCCAACAGCAAGAACATGCTGTATGCATTAACTGTACAGAGGATTTGCTGGGAGCACTAAGGAAAGTTTGAAAAACATATTTCCAGTTTCTAAAAGGTTACATGACTTACCTCCAGCAAGCTCCTCCAGGCTTGGAACATGTAAAGCAAATTTTTGAAACGTTGCCATTGCCCGTTTGGTTCTGATTTCTTCAGGTTAGAAATTACAGTATAACACACTGCAAAAGTGACTGATCTGTCAACAAGGATAATGGTTTAGTGATTGAAACACTGTTTTCAACATGCAGTTTATCTGCCAAATTCACACAAAAGTACATAGACAACAGTAGAATTGTTATTACACCATTGAGGGAAAAAACGACAGCTTCAAGATTAACACTTTCTCACATGCTTTGGAAGAAGGTGTGCCTACCAGCCCTACAGCTGGTTCAGAGTACCACATATGCTAGTCCTCAAACTTCGAACTCAGTGCAGATAAAATGTGTAATATGCTGAATCTAATTCAGGGGACAGGTCAGTTACTTGTCCTTTGTAAGCCTGAAGCCACGCTGCATTGGAAGAAAACCAGGCTCTTCTAAGCACAGCAATTGCCTCACTGTGTCTTTGCTACCTTAATGTTTACTTTTCCAGCATTGGCTACTATAGACTTTCAACCTTGGTTCCTAGTTTCTTATTGGCACGTGTTTCCCTTTCCAAAGGGGAAGAAGCCAGTAGCATGTCTCAAAGCAAAAAAAAACAAAAACAAAACAGCAGCAAGTTCTACAGCATTGGGCTCTGTATCAGTACAGAGCCCTTAACAAAAAGCTTTGTTCTGAACAGAAATGCTGGAGTTTCTTTTGAAATGAGCTATATTTCAGTCAGCCATGCAACAGCATAATCAGCTGTGAGGACAAACTACCAGCTCTGGGCACAAGCAGCTGGTTATATGCTACCTACATACAAACTAGCATCACCAATCATTAACTGCTTAAGCACAAGCCTGCTGCATAAAACAGAAAATGGGTCTCACGCCTTGTAAGAAAAAGCAAGAAACCTAATGGCACTCTCAGATTTAACAGAGCTTTTGGTAGAAAGGACTGTGATGTGACAGCTACTTACAGATACTTTTAGCTTCTGTCTAAATAAATAAATTCCTGACATTTATGATTGTCAAAAGTATGTGGGAAAAAAAACTACTGTCCTCTCACAGGGAAAAAAAATACAGTAAAGAAAAGGATTGGGGGAACAAAACAGTCAGACAAGTCTTCAAGTTCAAAGGTCAGCCTTGGAACGTGGGGTTCCTCCTGTAGCAGACTGTATAACCAAGATGTTATAATCACAATATAATTATGCATAATCAATAGATATCAAGATGTTATAATCGCAATATAATCAAGAGAGTAAGGCAAAGCAGACAACGATCACAAAAAGAGAATAAGTAGAAGAGCTTACCCTTTGGTTGAGCTCACCAGAAGATACCAAAAGAAGAGGATCTCCAGAAGAGATCCTTCCCCTCTGGTAGCCAGCTCTTAAATAGGTCCAGGAGGGGTGGAGCCTGGCTCCACCCATTCCGGCAGCACAGGTGAATTGCCTTCACCTGTGCTCCTCTGGCTGACTCAAGGCTCACCTCAGGTGATTAATCAGAGGTTCAGGCCGTGACTCAGCAGTTCCCATACACAGACAGTAGAGAAAGACAGAAAGCTATCCATGTCCAGTGATTTCCATCTTAGTTGGGCTTATCCACTTCCACGGGTAATCCTCCCTTCTCTGACTGTGAAGGACAAGGAAAAGGAAAAGGCTGGATGTGGTGCCTGTTGTCAGATGGACCGAGGCAGAGCCCAGGGCTTTTAAGAGTGCACTGAGAAAAAAGGAGCAATTAAGTCAGAGAGAGAACAACTCCAGCAGCGTTGTTGTAAATCAGGTCCAGGAGGACGCTGGGCTCCTCGAGACACCGGCTGAAATAGTCCTGAAACAGAGCTGGCGTTGTGCAAAGGGCAGAGACAGGACTCGGACGCAGATCAGCCAGGTAGGCTCCGACGCAACACCCCGACCATCGCCGGCTGCGTAAAGGAGAAAAGCGCGCTCAGCTCCCGACACGCCGCCAAAAGCTCCGGGCGTTACAACCGGGTCCAAGCGGGAAGGAAGCGGGTCGGTGAGCAGCGGCGTGAGGACAGCGCTTGTAGGGGAGTCGGTGCGGGGTGGGAGGGAGGAGAGCACGGCGGGGCATGGAGGCTCGGATGGGCCGTGATGGAGCGACATTAATGCTGTCAGAAGAGCTGCTGGGTGACAAACGGGAAAGGCGCACAAAGAACAGGTCCGGGATGGCAAAGTAACGACAAGCACGTAAAGACATTTCAGCTCTGCTTTTCCAGGCACGGAAGGGCAGAAACCGGAAAGGAGAAGTTAACAACTGGATAAAAACGCATTGGGGTGAGGGGGGAAGAAGTATTAAGGACAAAGTAGAGACAGCAGCCAGCAAGAGAAGGGAAAATCAGCCGTAACGCAGAGAAAGGCAAAACGCCGGGGGACGTGACTGCTGCGGCCGTGGTCATCAGCCGGGAGGAGGCGGGCGGACAAGGCAGCGGCGGGGGAAGGCTGCGGGCGGAGGGCACGGCACAGCCTGAGCCGCCGAGCAGAACCGAGCCGAGCCGCGACGGACCGCGCCAACATGCCGCCGAACTCAGAGTAGGTGCAAGAAGGGAAATTTGGGCCATTTAGGTGAGCGCAGAAAGAGCCCCGGAGCCAAACCTGCAAGAGCAACTCTGCGGAGTCCCACAGCGAGCAGAACAGCACGGAAACCCCAGAGGCGGCGCGCGCTTCAGGTCACAGCACGAACCAACCCTCCCTGCCGCCCCGCCCTCCTTACGGCGCGCCTCATCCCGCGCGACCAGCCGAGCCCGCCCCGCCTGATCTCGCGAGAGCCGAGCGCTATTTAGTCTCGGAGGCGGCCATCGCCCGCCCTTTGCGGAGACGAAGCGTAAGGTGAGGGGGGGCTGGTGAGCTGCGGAGGCGCGCAGCATCCACTGCCATCTGCGGTGGGGGAACCTGGTCCGGGGCTGAGGCCGAACGAAAGCCCGTTGTCTCTCCGAGCGCTTCCCTGAGGGAACGCGGGGAAGGCCCTAGGGTGGGGAGCGGGCTCCTCGTGGCGGCACGGCGCCGCGGTGGTGCGGCGCGAATCGCGCAAAATGTCCGCCCCGGGATGCTGGGCGGGTAGGGCGACCTGAGGGGAGGCAGCACGCGTCGGGCGACCGGCCGGCTGTGGGCGGACTTCCCTTCCGAGCTCGGCAGCGGCCGTGGGGAGACATCACAGACTCCCGGTCTTCCTCAGAGTTTAGGGCGCGTCGTGCCGCTCTGCGTTCGGCCCCTTTGTGTATACAGTCCTGGCGCCGGATGGAGTGCGCCGGATTACAGATCGGCTGAAAGCGAGCGTTTTCTCGTGGGACTGTTCTGTGCTCATGGCCGGGGAATGAAATGTTGGTAGGTTGTTACAGTAGGAAACTCTCAGGGCTGTACAGCCAGCGAAAGATTGGGAAAATGGGGTTCTCATGCCCTGATCCTTAGTTGAAAATAATTATGAATTAGAGTGAAGTGTTTTTTGTGGCTTAGAACTGCAGCATCCCTACGAGCTAAAGAAGCTGTTGGCTTACATGCACGTGTGCTTGTATGTGAAAAACTTTGCCTGTGCTAAAGCGTACTTTATTTTTTAGGGCAGATTAAAACATGAGTGATACAGATGAATCCCACGCTTCTGGTTCTGATTATCCTGATGCCCAAGATCTCATATTCACTCAGAGGAAAAAAAGATCTAAGGTACCTGAGCGTGCAGCAAGTGCACAAAAGGAACATTTGTGCTCGAGGCAGAAGGGTGCCAGTCCTGAGGAGTCTTCAGATGAGATCAGTAGTACAGATACGTCTTCAGATGAGGTGGATAGCAGTGATTCAGAAATGTGAGTTATCTCTAGTTCCTTAGAATTGCTCATGAACAGAACTTGTGATACATCATTACTGTACGTGTTTTGTTGAACATACACATTTCTTTTTCAGTGATGTTCCAGCTGCTAGTGGCAGCAAGCACCATAGGAAGCACTCTGTTGTACCTTCAAAGCGAAAGAGGAGATTGCAGGCTTCAAAGCAACAAGCAGAAGCTGATGCAGGAGTGCCTGGCGGTGAAAGTTCTGATTCTTTGCCCACTCAGAGCCCAGTGAGGCCACCTGAAGCCTCCCAAGAGAAGAAATCTAAGCTCAATCTGAAAGCCATTTTTGCCTATCACTTCAGAGGAAGGAAGTTTAAAGCTGCTGCACACCGAAAATACCGGAGCAGTGGTTCACGGAAGATAAATAGAGCCTCTGGGTGCACACGGAGGCGTGGTAAGAAGAAGCCCATGACAGCCTCACCTCAGGAGCGAAGGAAAAGGCTTAAGGATCGAGGCTTTCAGTTCCCTTTTGTTGAAAAACATTATGGGAGAAAACATATTCCCTTAAAGATGGTTCTTAGCTATGAGGTGAGCGCTCTGTTTTGTGGGAGAGAAGTTGTGATTTTAGATTTATGTCAAGGAACAATGAATGCAGGTTGGCATGTTGTGCTTCTACCTAAACACCACAGTGAAATGAATCCACTTTTGTGTTGTTACACAGGATGACTGCTGCTTTCCATTTGATACCTTACCAAACCAGCTGACCTAAGGCTGTCATTTAATGTTACAGTTCAGTTGATTATATAAATGCTTCATTCCTTTTATAGTGGCGTTTAAGATGTATTTCTTTCCTTCAGCAAGCAGCTGCAAAAGGATATTTCCAATATGTTGAAATGCTCAAATATGAAGAACACCTCAAAAAGGCTTTGAAAGCCCTTGAAGCCAGTGAAGACTTAGAAAGAGAATGCCTGGTAGTGCGGAAACACAAATATTTAGATGATGAAGGCCCCCTTTCTCCTATCCAGGAGACAAAGTAAGTTCATCTTGAGTAGTATAAAAGTTGCTGTTTTGTGCTCAGCTTAAATCTGAGTTTGTGTGTGCAGCATTGCTGTCTTTATTGTCTGGTGTGTGCATTATATTCATTGGTGAAATACCTCATAGATTTTTCTGTAACTCAGTAATGGATTCTGGGGACTTAGCACCCTGTGCTGTGTGCTCACTCCTCATCCTCAAAAGAGCAGAGACAGAAAATAGATGACAGCTCATGGCTTGTGATGAGGACAGGGCAGTCACTTACCAGTTACTGTCCCAGGCAGAACAGGCTCAGCACAGGGAGGTGAATGTAATGTCTTGTTATTTGTAGCAGGTGAAAGCAGTGAGAACTAAAAGCAAACTACAAACAGTTTCCCCCCAAGCAGTGCAGTGGGGACTGCGCTCATTCCATAAAGCTTTGCTTCTGCCTCTTTATCCCTGCTGCATGTGGAGTCATAGAATCACAGAATGGCCTGGGTTAAAAAGGACCACAAAGATCATCACGTTTCAACCCCCTGCTATGTGCAGGGTCACCAACCAGCAGACCAGGCTGCCCAGAGCCACATCCAGCCTGGCCTTGAATGCCTCCAGGCATGGGGTATATACAGCCTCCTTGGGCAACCTGTTCCAGTGAGCAGTGTGTCTCTTCCATGAGATGCCATCCTTCCTCAACTGACCCCAGGTGGGATCCCCCTGCTATCGAAACCTCGACACTTCAGTCCTGTACTCCTGTGGAGGTTGACTCCAGCCAGCACCTAAGCACCTGCATTCACTCTCCAGTAGGAGAAAAGAGAAACCTGTGAGTTGTGATGGTGGAAATGGTTCTGTCAGTGTCAGTAGCTGGGATCTAGTTCCAGAAAGAGAGCAACCTCCTGTAGAATTGGGGCATCCTAGATGTATAAGCTGTAGTGTTTCCATATGCGTTATGGGAAAGTGGTGCTGCATTAGCGGAATAGCTTATATATGCTGTGCTACTGTAAAAGTACAGATTTGATTTCAATTTTATATATTTCAGTGATGATGATAATAACTGCGTGGGCTCTGATAATCCAGAAGACTTTGATGTCAGAGTAGTGGTGAGTAAATACTCGTTAATTTGAAAAATACTATAAGCTTTTTTCTCTTTTGAGGTGTTAAAGAAGTAATAGATGATGCTTTGAGTACTGAATTCTTGAGCTTGGTGTGGTTCTGATGTGTAGTATGAAAGGAAGTTGGTTTGAGAGAAGTCTGTACTCTTTGGAATTGCAATTGTGGAAACGAGTTCTTTGAAGCGTTCCTAAATCTTGGGAAATGAGTAATTGTTCCTGATGTGTTTCCAAACCAGGGTTGTGAATACTGTTTCTTCATTCTTAGGACAACAGCTGTTTCATCATAAGCAGCAAAATTCCCAACAAGAAGAAATCGAAGGCCGAAACAAAGCGAGCAAAGTCAGCTGGAGTGGTTGAAGTAAAGAAGAGTGCTGCTGATAACTGAACATTTGTGTGGTTCTCTTTGGTTGAACAGAACATGAACGAATAAGGTGGCAGCAGTCACTTCTCAGAGACCTTATTGAGCCTGCCTGGCTTAAAATGTTGGTCTGAAGTCAGCGTTGAGCTGTCAGCCAGAAAACCTCATCAGAATCAATTTAAGGTGAGTTTGGGTCTGAGATGGATAGGAGAAAGTTGTGGCCTGTCTTTTTGCTAAGCATTTTTGCAGTTGGACTTGATGGTCTTTAAGGTTTTTTCCAATCTGAGCAATTCTGTGCTGTATGAAGTGTGCACTAGCGATTGAGTGGCTGCTAATCCTGTTGAAACACCAGCTTCTGCAGCTTGACAGAAGTCTTCTGTCATCAATGGGTCGTAGAGCTACAGAATTAAAAGTTCCAGATCTTGTAATTAAGGTGTTGTGTAGAAATGTGTGTAAACATGTATATGCATTGGCAGGGGGATTGGACTCTATGATCTCTGGAGGTCCCTTCCAACCCCTACAATTCTGTGATTCTGTGTGGTGTAGGTGCACTCATCCTACACAGGGGTAAAGTTGCTTTAAAACAACTAGAAGTGTGATGAAAAGTTCTTTTCCCTTCTTCCCCTCCTCACTCTAGAATGGGGTTTTATGAAGGTGACTGAGCAGAAGATGGAAGTCCTTCAGCATGACAGGGACTATTGCTGATCTCATAGCATGAGGGGAACATGCTGCAGTTGCTCAGTCTGAAAAGAGTTGAAGTTGCATTTCTAAATCTTTGCAGAAGAAGCTTGAGATTTCCCTGTTGCAGCTTGGTGCTCAAGAGTGAGACTGCAAAAATCTGCTCTTTGCTAATTAAAGATCGGATTTAATAACAGTCCAAAGTTAATGGCTCTTAGGCACCTACTTGAGAAATACTGTGTGGCTTGATAGACTCATCCTAGATCTAGAGTGGGGTTCTGGCAGGATAAGGCGTAGTGAGGTGGGATGTGGAGTCCTGCTCATTCTGCAGTTCATGTGATGAATATTTCTGTTCAACTGCTGAGTGACTCAGAAATGAACTAAATTTCAATTCTGATTAGAACTGGATGTACACACCTGAAAAGTGAGTGCATTACATCTGCCAAATTGATTGCTGAAAAGTAGCTTTTGCCTTTAGGGATCTCAGCTTATTTGACCATAATTGATGATTCTTATCCCTTTCTTTTTTTTTAGTTTGTTGCTTTTGGATGGTGAATATTGATCAGCTGCTGTGAGAGGTAAGCTGTAGTGTTATGCAGTTCTTTTCTCCAGGTAGCTTGTGGGCTTCGTGACTCCTGCCAGTCCAACCTGTAGTCTGTGCTGGAACAGAAAGCATCAGTTTTTTTAACACCTGTATATTCAAAGTAGTTTGTGTAGGCAGTGATAGATAGCAGTGCTTGTGTGAGCCGATGTTGAATGCTGCAGGCAGACAAGCCAACTGTGGTTTATGTTGGGTGCTCCTAGTGGAGATGTCTGTACTGGTGCCTCGTGCAGCTGCAGTGTCTGATAACTGCCCTGTGGTAAAACTGCAGGGGGAAGGAACATCAGGAGGTGGTCTTGGATGTTACTGCCAAAGCTGTGCAGTTTCTCACAAAGGGATGTTATCAGACCTGTGCCTCTTCAGGAGGGCTTAGGATGCAGCACAGAAGAAAAACTTGAGGGTTACTCTTTAACACAGGGAGCCTGGAGGTACAGCTACACCAGTAATGACAACGAGCATGTTTCCCTGTATGAGGATCAAACTGGAGCATCTGCTTTCAGCGTTTGTAGTAAAGGTACTGGAGTACATAATGTGTCAACTTGACACAGTGTAAATTGTTCTTACAACAGTATCTGATAGTAATACTGAGCTTGTTGCACCTGTTAGTAGTCCAGGTCATACCTGTCTCTTAAAAACAGGAAGCCCAGTAATGGATGGTGAAAGTTAATGGAGTAAGTATACAGTTGATTGAGAAATAACTTCATTTTTGTGTGGTCTTCAAATGCTGTTTCAGAGGCATGAAAAATAACAGAGCAGGCGCATTCAGTTTCAGCACGTGTTCAGTTTTTGTCTGGTGCTGTAGACAAAAACCTGGAACCTGGTGCTTAGAAAAAACCCTTCTTTCGCAACCCACAGCCGATGCATGTATTGGTTGTGTTACTTACATGAAGGGACACTGCTTATATTTATTCAAGCAGCAATTAATCCATAGGGCATGTTTCGTATTGCATGTGCAGAAATGTTGTGCAGTTGCTTTGTTTCCTTCACAGATTTTTTCCAGCTCTGCAGCACTGAGCTATTGTAACTGTTTTGATCTGCTTGAATTCTTACAGCTGGTGCACAAATCTGTTACTTCTGTGCTGTCCTGTGGAACACATGGGTTAAGGAGGTATGCTTTGTTTCCGCTGAGTTTTGGCGTGAGAGAACTTGAGTCTTTGCCTTCTCAGAGAGGCTTTGGTGGAGCTTGTCAAACACAGCAGTGGGAACTGTTGGACAAGTTGTTAAGTGATAAAAGTGCATTTAAGTTGACCTGGTTCTTTAATGTTTCTTGAAGTAAAGGAATTTTTGAGGAAGCTTTTTTGCCTGTGGGGAGGTTGTGCTGTGAGGACTGTAGGCTGAAGGCTTAGCTGTTTGTTTTTTTTTTTCTTAAATAAATATTTCATTTGGAAAGGCAAAAGCAGAAGGCAGCTGGTGATGTGTCCATGTTGGAGTTAATGGGCTGGGCTTTAAAACAAGCTGTTCTGCAGGTGTAGTGAAGAGTTGATTGTTGCGCCTTGTTATTCAGCAGGCAGACAACTCTGTGTGTGTCTCAACTGAACAACGGGGCCAGAAGAGCAACAGGTTGTGCTTTCCTCACTGTAACACCCATTGCAGTGGTGACAATGAGACCTGTAACAGGCTTACATACTGAGAGAATTGTGCAAACACGGTTCAAAATGTGGTTACTCTTAAATTCTGACGGATTGACATGTGTGGTGTTGTGAATTCTTGAATTCATAGAATCACAGGGTTGGAAGAGACCCACAAGATCATCCCATCCAACCATCCTCCTATCAGCATTACTATCCACTAAGGTACTAAACAATATCTTGCAGCATTCTGCATCCTGCTGGCTGTGGGAAGTGGAAGAAAAACACACAGTACTGAATTCTGTAAATAGTTTATCAGAGCACTCTTGGAAGCTGTCTTGTAGTTGCTTCACACTGCAGTGCAGCTGATGTAGGTAACACGCTCACATACATCTTCTGTGCCATAGTGCTTTGATTTCTTAAGTGTGGGTAGATTTTGTTTGTAGTTTTGTGACAGACTTTGATTTGAAGTGCTGCGTATTCAGTGTAAGAGTGCTTGAATCTTGAAGTTACTAAAATGCTGAAGAAACTTAGAAGTGTTAATCAGTACTGTAATCTGCTCTTTTCAGCAAGCCCACCTGACGATGCAGACCGGAGGACTACCTTGGTGAGTTTGATACCAGCTTAATGTAACCATTGCTTAGTGAGAGTTAGAAATTTTGCTTCAACTTTCTGAGCTGGCATATGGCTGTTCCTACTGAGTACTGCTGCATCAGAAAAACTGACTGTAAAGCTTGATGCTATCTGAGGAAGTTGTTGTGATGATTGGCAAAATGTTCAACTGCTCTGAAGAGAGTGAGTGAGAATGGCCTTTCTGAACAAATCTACTGCCTGACTTCATACTGCGTATCCATGCTGAGGATGGAGCGTGCAGAATGTTCTCAGTGAATAAAGACTGATATTTTTTTTGTTGATAAAACTGTCAAATTACATTTTGAATGTTCACTGCAGTAGCTTGAAGTGTGATTGCAGTGGGAGAGATCATCAGAAATGCCTGTGGTGATTAGAAATGGCTTCTGAAGGTTCTACAACTCACTGCTGTAGGTCCTACTGTATGCACGTGCAAGTCATTTTGTAACCCTGTGGTGATGTTGCTTTTTCAGGTGGCAGGTGGTATGAGGAAATGAGAGAAGAAGTGCAGAAAGCCACTTGACAGAGACGGAGCTCCCCTATAGGTTAGTGTGCCCTCTGAGCTTCTGCAGATGCATCAGTGTTTGAGGGGCTCTGGTTTTCAGTGGCTGGAGCTGTTCACCAGGTGAAGCTCAGTGCCTTTTGGAGTGTTGCAGGGGCATAACTCAACATATGTTAGGATATTTTAAAGTAATATTCCCTTTCAGTCTGTTAAGGGAAGACTTCTTTAACTCTGGTTTATCCCAAGAAAGATCTCAGTCTGAAATGAAGTGACGAGGTCAACTTCCTAAACTCGGGCTTCACTTTAAAAGTAAATGAGTACTAAGGGAAGTTAGGAGTGTTTGAATAAATGTTGTAGTTAATTCCCTTCGTTTTATACTGCTCATGTTCATGTAATACTGTTCGTGTAATCGTAGCTTTTAACATTAAACTGATGTGGAGTTATTACTGCATCTTCCAAATGAAATGGTAGTGTAACATTGCGCTCCTTTTTCCCACAAATCATGACAGAAGTAAGAAGGCACTTCGTAGGAACTGTATAAGATGCTTTTCCAGTCTGCTTGATTTTTGTTGGTTGGTTTATGGTCACAGAAACATTGAGGTCTATCCCGATAGGATCTCTTCTGTAGGTTCATGTCGTTGGAAACGCCTCACAGAACAAACTTGTGGTTTAGTTTCACCCTTGGAGCTACCTGTTAGCTCCGTGGGATAGAACTGCAAGACAAATCTTCATGTACCATTTTAGGAATGGAAGTAACGTGTCATGTTCTCCCTCAGGTACTGGCTCGTGAATTTGATATAGATGAAAAAAAATTCAAATGGAAAAGCTTGGTAAGAGTGAAAAAGAGCATGTTCTGAGATGTAAAATGTAACTAACGTTTAATTGCGTGAGTTGAACTTGCTCAGCCAGATGTCTGTGAAGGTGCCAGACCTCTTTGTGTTTTTTTTTCTGGTTGGCTTGAAGCAGGCTCTTCCCTCTTCAATCTAAAAATGATTTACTGTTCCTTGTGGTGCCTGTAAGTTTAAATTAGAAAGTCCAGCCCTCTAATGTCTGTCCAGTCTTAAAGTAACTTGATGAGCATGCTGGATTTTTGCTCTGCTATGTAATTCAGCAATGCTGCTTTTCTCTTGTTAAGCTTCAAAGATTTAAAGTTAATTTCTGAGCCTGGTACAGTGTTAGAACTCCTGGGTTACATGGAGCATAGTGCTATTCCACAGACCATAGCTTGAAGTAAAAGGACAATACTCATAAGCCCATTGTGCTGGCAATATAAAGAATACTTGAAAGAATAATGAGGCTGCTGAAATTGATGGAATTTCTTTTCTCTCTTAGCACGGCAACTTCTGTGAGATTGGTACTTCATTTTGGCTTCTCTCTAACTGGTGTCTGCAGAGCTTGAACATTAATGTGCATTTGTTGATTGAGGACTGTTGCACTGAACGGTATCTGCACCCAGCAGCATTCTTCTGATGGGGTGTTCAAAAATTAGTGCTACAGTAGTTCAGCATTTGGCATCGTTGGTTTTCACTCTGCTGTGGTTGTTAAACCTGGTATTCTTGCTGATACAGGCTTTGTCCTCTTCAAGCATTTGAGCACAGTCCTTTTGTGTTGGGCAGGACTTGTCAGTGTGAGAGCTGACCGCTGGTTCTCCCTGGTGTGTTCAGTTTGTTTCTTTAAACAGGTGCCTTATGGTACAGAGCAGTCAGTTGGCTGTGTGAATGGATTTCTGTGGAAGAGGAAACAGCCTGTTGGACAGGTGAGCACTGAGTTGTCAGTTCAGGAGGTTTGGGGCAAGATGATGGAAGCTCGGTTGCTGACACATGACTCTAGAAGATCAAAACTTCAGTAAGCTGTCTAGAAACATAGAAATGACTGGCCAGTAGCAGGCAGTCCTGGGTAGCACTCGCTCCAGATTTTGGCAGTATCTGGGTCAGGGTGTGTGCCTGCAAGCTAGTCTTGTGTGCTTGTAAAAACAGCAGTAAAGGGAGATCTGGTCATTACCAAAGCTGCAAGGATATTCCTGTTCCTGGTAAGCTGTGGACATGACCATAAAACAACTCCATCAGACTCTTGAATTGCTGCATTGTGTGGCAGTAGGTCTGCTGGGAATAAAGCGTTGGTGTAGGCCACAGACACAGCGCTCCCTTCTGCTGGTTGTTAGTGGCTCTCTTTGGCTACCAAGGAACCCAAGTGCTAGCAAGAATCTTCAGCTGTTGAAATCAAGCCCCACAAGCGGCTGTTGACAGAACTGTCATGCATTCAGAATGGAAAACAAAAATCTACTTCTTGCACTTGGCATCCAACTTCATTTTAACTCTTCATTTATACAAACCAGGTGTGCCTTTGTGTACCAGAGTGCTGCTGTCACTGAATGTTGGGGTTATGAAGCTGTACCTGAGTGCTGCCACAGCAACTAGGTAAGATGCTTAGCAGCAGTGCTGGTACCCAGAAGAAATTCAAGGTCACTTCAAAGAGGGTTTGCATGGCTGGAAAACCAGCAGCTCTTAACGCAGTGACCGTACATTGAACTCCTTTTAGCAGGATGCTGTAGCCACTTTGTGTGTGCTGTGGTCTATTTCAGAGGAGACAGTCCTTAAGTTACATTGCTGCTTAGAATGAGAAACCGCCTGTAGCTACTGCCCTGTCACTTTTTGAGTTCCTACTGCAGGCAGAATGCTACTTGGCTTCATCTGCAACCATTTGACTTCAGCAGCATGTGGGGTTGGAAGAGAATATTGATGTAATTGTGGCACTATGAGCTGTCTTGTATCTTTAATGCTTTTTCCTTCTGCTTGGGTGTATGGCATGTTCTTGAAACTGCATGGAAACAGAGAGTCCCAAAGAGCGGGCAGTAGTGTTGAACTGGAATATTATGGATAGAGTGCATATAGGAAACTGGAGTCAGAGCAAGCATGCAAAATGATTCTTTTTGCCCCTAAACAATTTAGTAAGGGATGTAGGATTGTGTGGCTGCATTACTGCTGTTACATCAGCACCATGTTATGAAGTTAGGTTGCTTCAACCTATAGGAAGTCAATAACTTGAAATGCTTTTCTTTCTCTTGAATTATGGTGCTAATTATTTTTTCTTCTCTCAGGTCCTGATGTGATGTTGCTGCAAGTCTTGCAAGAAAGAAAAGCTCTTAAATGCTCTTAAACACTCCTCTATTTCTTGTAATAATTGAGAATTTTAAATATTTTAACTTCATTGCCCTGTAAGTTGAAGTAGTGGATCAAAGTGTGGCTGTAAGCAGGGAAGGATTATCAACTGTGTTCAAACTGTTCCAAGTGGGAAGATGGGGCTGTTTACTTCATACAGAAAGTAACATTCAAATAAAACTGCTTGAAAGAACCAGCTGCAGCCAGGGAATTGTTATTACTTTTTGCTACAGTGTAAAGCTAAAGCAGGGATTGTAACCACATCTGCCTTGTAGCCGAGCGTTACTTTGTCTTTCTTTCTCACCTTGTTACAACATTCAGACCTGTGAGCAGCCTCTAGAAAAACACTACAGTGAAGATGAGAGGAGAGCCTGCACACTGAAATGAGCCCTCTATTGTAGCAAGAGGCCTCTTCTTCCTTTCAGCTGTTTGTCCTCTGTATATAGGGGAAGTTGTAACAATTTGAGTCTCTTCAGCAACTGCAGTACTTCTAACTAGTGTGAACTGCAATGTATGTTAACTCTTTACAGAGAAGCTGCTACCTCATACTGCTGTATTTGAAATTTGGGCAGACCTGTTGGAAATGGAAATGAATGCATTTCAGGCGTTCTCACCTACTGCTACAACAATCAGCTCTGTGTTAGCACTGCAGCTTAAAACTTGTGCTGTTCTGCCCTTTGCTTCATTTCAGAGCTAATAAACTTTAAGTACAGTGATAGGCTCCCCAGGGTGCTGCTGGTTGAGTCCCCATCCCAGAAGGTGTTTAAAAAGCTGTCTTGAGAGATGTATGTGGTGCTCAGGGACATGGTTTAGCAGTGAGTTGTTACAGCAGTATGGTTAAATTGAGGCTGGAATTGATCTTGAAAGTCTTCACCAGCCCAAGTAATTCTATGGACAGTCTTTGCAACTTTGCAATGGCAAGTCTTTGCAGTTAGCTAGTTGAAGGCAAGCTGACATCCACAAGTGAAGACAGTTCTGTAAGTGATGTTAGTCTGTTGGCTTCAGGGACTTTGAGATGTACATCTGTTGCACAAACCTGTACTTTGTAATGATGATTATGTAAGTGATTAATTACTGTTCCTACTAAACATGAGAAAAAGGGATAAAAGCTTCAGCTTTTTGAAAAGGAATCTTATTGTCACACATGCTATGACCTCAGTGTTTATTAAAAACACTTTATTAGATGTTTATATTACAATAGTATAAACTCTCTTTCAAACACTACAGCACCAGGCTTTCCTGCAGCGTCATTCTACTCAGTGCTGGTTGCCACATATTAAAAGTAGATGGCACTGTAGAAAGCATCTGTCAGTCACTACCTGAATTAGGTTAATGCAGTTCTTACTGTTAAATACTCTGAGTTGTATCAGCACAGCAATGTTTCTTGGTTAGAGGCTTCTCCTAGTCTGGGTGTTTTCCCTGGCTTCTTGGCTCGTAGTTTTTCCAGCATTTTCTGCAAGATTTAAAATCATGTGAGAATAGCATAGCTCAAGAAATGGTGGTGATAACACCAAGCTGTACAAGTGAGGTAATGCTGCTCTATAACAGAGAGAAGTACAAGAGCAGGTGGAAGAGTCTTCCCAGGGAAGCACCAAGCCTGCTTGTGCTTGGATCACACTCAGCAATACTGTTTGACACGAGCAGCTGGATCCCCTCAGTCCTTTTATTTGACCTCAAGTCACAAGAATTCAGTCTCAGGCTGATGTCCTTTAGAGAAAACTCAGCCATAAGGGCTGTGTTGTATTGGCACACTACCTTGACTGGGGCGGTCTCAGACAGACTAAGCCAATAGCAGTGCTTGGGCAGTCTCTAAAAGCTCACTGACTGAGCAAAGGTAGTATTCCCAAGAGGCTGTGCTGAAATGTTAAGACCTGGTTCATGGTCTGTTCAGTCATCACTGCAGAATTACGCCTCCAGTCTGATTAGAAGCTAGGGGACATGAATTGACCAGCTCGAGATGCTAAGAGGGGATTACTTTACCTTTTGAAACTCCTTAGCCTTTTCTCTATTTTTAGCATAAGTTTCCTGCCTTGATTTTTCTTCTTTTCTGATCTTTACTTCTGAAAGTTGATTATAAAGTCTGTCAAAACATTAGAAAAAATACTGTCAGGAAGGAAAGGGGGAAAGCAGGAGTACGTAACAGCCTTAAGGGTTTATACTGGCAACTGCTAGAAATTATAGCAATTCTGACTTTACTATCCCCTGATCTGGCATCACTTCAACTAACTTTTAGCTGACCTAACACAGACCCCACTCAACCACTGCATTTGTACACAGGCATCGTTACTAAATGCTGAGTGCAGCTGGGCAGGCTGCCAGTGCTTCCTTCCTGCTGCAAGCTGGGCAAGGGCATGGCTCAGTGTTCACCTGTATAAACATGTACTGTTAGGGCTCATATCAACAACTTCTCATTTATCTTGTTTAAATCCAAACTTCTTCCACTGTTCATGCAGTACCTTGAGGTGCGCTGGTACATTTCAGCTTCTCCAGCCTTCCTGTCTTCTGGAGAAGACACTTTCACTTCTCCTACTTTCTTCAGCTGATTGACAACTGCACCTTTTTTCCCTTTAAAAGACACAAACACAAAATGTATCCTAAATCTTTAATCCAGACAATACATCTATTTACAGTATAAACTACTGCGCCCCAGTAAAAGTTTGCTCAGTTTACGAAACCAATACCAGGTACTAATTGTAAAAAAATCAACAGTTGTCAATGACAGACTTCTTCAGTATACAAGAACTCAAAAGCATAAGAGGTTTCAAAGGTTGAGATAGAACTACAAAGAAAGAAACAGAATTGGTACAGTGGAGATGAATGTTTGTCTTAAAAACCACAGCAGTTCTTTGACAACCAGTTATTTTGCAAAGACACATTATGATGATAAATGCAGATAAATGCAGTCTGCTTGCAACATGAGACAGCCAAAGTGGGGAAAAGGAGCTCCCACATCCCTAAGAAATTAAAGAATACCCCAACTGCAAAAGTGAAGATGCAACACATAGGAAAGGTTTTCTGTGATATTTAAAAACTAAAGCAGTCCTAGCCCACGTCACATGCCCAAGTAAACATACCAGGGATAAGACGACCCTCCTTTTGACTGCTTAATGTCTCAGACTTTTTCCTTTGAAACTGTCTGCCTTCTGGCTTTTCATTTTTTCTCTCTCTTTGTTTTATTTCTTCAACTCTTCTCAGGGATTTCTGGATGAAGTCCTTCTTTCTTTTCAAAAAAGATTCTTGCAAACTCCCTGGTGCAGAAGCAGACTCCAGCAGCATCACTGAGAAAGAAAAGTCCAAGCATTTCTCACTTTCTGCAAAGAAACCACCTCTACTAATTCATACATTTCAGTGCATTTCTCCTAAGATGTTGACCAGGATCTGTTTTCACAACTGGTGTCAGGAAGTGACATTTTTGCACAATAAGCAGTAATTTAGAGCTAAGGAATCTAGAAACCAAAAGCAGTACTGCCAAAACAGATACTGCACCAAAACACAAAGACTGGAGAAGCCCCTAACAAATGGTTACAGCCTGGTAGATCCTTTCTTCCTTGTTTCACTATTTATGTTCTATACTGACATCAGAACATCTTTTAACTGCAGAGGTTCCTGACTGATAGGAAACAAACAAGGGAAGGTGCACTACGTACATAATGACAAGCAACAAAACATCATAAGAGTTTCAAAATTAAATATAGTTACAAATAAAACCAAATGAAGTCTCACTAATTATAGCCATTACCATCTATTGCTTAATTATTGCTTCCTACAGGAAGAGACAAGTTATTTCCTTGTCAGTAAAGCACACATCAAACCTGGGCCAAATGTACACAAACAGAGGCCAAACAGCAACATGCACCTGTCTAAGAGAAGTTATATTTTCCAAAGGAGAGGTGTAGTATCTTGCAATGACTTTGTAAGTTAAAACTTCAGTATGTTGAAGCTGCACAGAATTACCTGCAGTCTGATGTGATGGACGCTGACCCTCGGTAGCACTGTGGGCTTTGGAAGAGCTGTCAGGCCTTATGAGCACTGAACAAACTGCATCTGGAACCACTGGTAAAAATTCTCTTTTCTGTTTCAAAAGGAATCATTAGTTGAAAATGCAGAAAATACACCAGAAATCTGAAGTAGTCATATAGTACCCTAACATGGACAAGACACAAGAAAAGACAGTCTTTTCCCTTTAGCAGATGCAAGAAAAACACCAGAAATGGATAGTGACAGCATTAGAATGCTTCTAAAAACACTCAGAAACTTCA